CAGGCGTATGGATCGCCAATGCCACTATAGCATGTGGTTGTTGTTACACGTTCTGTCCACTAGAGGGACATCTAACATTACAATAAACATTTTATTCGTGCTGAATATGGTTGAAGTGTTTCCGATGGTTTTCGGCTAATATCTCCGTGAAAACTCCACCGAAAATTCTAAAACTTATATCATTCTTTTCAGTTCAGCTAGACGGTTCCAACGGGTTCCAATGTTCTCGCCGAATCCGTTGAGTTTTCGCCGAGATATTTGCGCTTCACGGGCCCTTTGGGGGGGCGCTTTTTTACGTCGTTAAACATTTACCATTTTTGACAGTATTGTTATGATGATCATCGTGGATAACGTGCACAATTGTGTTATGATTCCAAATCTTTATTGTTCATCAGACGAAACAAAAGCATTTCATTTTCACATGCGTGTAAGCCAAGGTGAGAAAGGCAAGATTGCATATAAAAAAAATATATATATATATACACACACATAAAAAAGCAATATTCGAATAGTAATTTCAGCATTCGAATAGCATTGATTTTTTTTAATATTCGAATTATATTCGAATTTCAGAATTCGTTCCAACAGCCCTACTCCGCAATCGCGGCGACAGTATTGTGGTGGAGACTTTGTCTAATGCCACTGGGTATGTTAGACGAGGTCGAAGTATTCATAGGACAGTTAGGAGGCAATGTGGAGGCAGGGTGGGGAGTCGCAATGACAATGACAGTAGTCCAAGCTGTGCACACTCGGCGCGCGCGCGAGGCAGATCTGGCCGCGCTGCTCGTATCATCTCACTCATGATCAGTGCGAGTGAGCGTTTGAACTAAACAGGTCTTGTCTACTTGTGTTTGTATGTCATATGAATAATATATATGTGCCCCATACATGGAATCAGAGTGTCTACTGTATTTAGTAAATGGAAAATCTCTACAGCAAAAGGCAACCACTACATGCATTCGGTTTGTTTCTACCATTTATTAGTAATGATTTACACAGTTTGTTTACTACTTACTATATACCTGAGCATTCAGTATTGTGCAATATAGCATACAGAAGGTGAGGGACATTTTGGGGGGAAAGAAGTGCTGCATTTTATCATTAAAACATGTGACTTTTCATGAAAATTCTATAATCCAAGATTGCCGCCACCTTATGACGTCATAATATGCTAATTAGATGGAAAAATGTAATCCCTACATAAACTTTGGATCATCCTTAATATTTCTCTAATTTACAGAAAGTCTCTATATTTTATCACTTTTAAGATATAGCCTTTTGAAATTGAGATGTCAAAATCGAACGTTTTGGGAAAAAACCTCTGGCGCCTAAAGGGCCTACAGTCCCTACCTATTGCTATGGAGCACAGGTTTCTTTCCAAGTCAGTTTTATTGCATCTTACTGTTGTCTGTGTGTCTCTGTGCCTGCTGATGCAACTCAAGTCTGGGGAGCAGGTAACACATTCATCCTGCCACCCCTCTCAACCCAAAAACCTCCCATCCTCCCTCCCTCTCTTGTGATTTCACTCCATGTCTGGTAGTACTACCCAGTTCATTTGGCGTGACAGCAGCGTCCTTCTCTTTGTATATGTGGAGTTTCCTTTGTCCATAGTGCAAGTTTACATTGTCTATGTATCAACAATATGGATCAGACACGCATTCGGAAAGCGGAATGAGCGTCTTATCTGCGCAATTGATGTTCTTCCTCAATTGTTTGTGTTTGCATTTACATTTGGTGTAATGCTCTTTATTCTCTCTCTGTCTCAGATGTACCGGTTGACCCTGCGCAGCAGTAAGGACACTGTCTCCCAGCGTCTTTGTGAGCTGCTGGCGGAACAGTTCTAGAAAGCCAGCCGAGACTAGCACCATCTAGAACCGACACGCAGACCAGACCAGACCAGCGTTCCACCTGAAAGGCCCCAGAATAAAGATTCTACAAAAAGCATTCATGCATAAGGGAAAAAGTAGCTGTCAGCCTCTGGCAGCCATATTACTGTCCTTCTGATAATGATTATTATTATTACTGTTATTATCATCAGCGCTGCCCTTCTTGTTTTTATCGGTGTTTACCTGTGTGTGAGCAATGGAACGAAAGGAAGCGTGTGTGTTTTTTTCGTACATGTGTGAAAGAGTCATGACGATAGTTCCGTTCTCCGTCCTGCCTGTTCAACGATCAACTCCTGTGCTTGTGTTGACTGAGCTGGTGTGTGTATGTTGTGGATTAAGGGGGAGGGAGAAAAGTAAGTGTAAATGGAAGTGGAGCAAGTCTTCCCTCTCTCCTGTTTTATCCGCAAAGTTTCAACCGCAAAAACTGCACATTAGCTGTTTCTTTGGAACATTCCCTGTAAGACTATTAGCAGGAAAAAAACAACAAAAAAAACAATCTCAATACACTAACGTAATGGCACTTCTCTAAAAGAGGCCAGAATCACTAACCCTCATCGCTTTATCTCTCTCGCTTTCCTCCTTAAATCAGATTCAGAGCTATTGGTGTACATAGAGAAATAAAATTAAAAAAAAGATTCCACATGCATTTACAGTTTATTGCATCGTACACGCGTTCCTTCCGACATAGAAATGGCCAGTGCACTTTAAGAGGCTTTGAGAGGAAAGGCTTTTATAGTCCCGACCCTTTTTTCCTGTTCTTGTCCCATGTATTCAGTACTCTTCCTGACCCCCATTATCTGACAATGTTTATTGAAAAAAAAAATCTCTCTATATAAATATATATAAACCATGTAAATGATTACCCTTCATGGTTGCATTTGTATGTCTCTTTCTTGTTTTTGATAGTGGTGTATTGTTGGTGTGTTTGTATGCTTTCTTAAATGGTCTAATGTTTTTTTGCTTTTGTTTTGGACATTCCATTCTGTACTACGAGTGAATGGGCATACCGTTTCAGGTTAGTTGTACAGTGTTAAATGAGCTGGGGAGGAACTAGAATCAGAAAGAGGAAGTGAAGCAGAGAGAAGGTCAGGTCCGCCAGTGTGTGAGTTTCTGCACGTGAAGAGTGCAACTGCTGTGGACCTTAATGTAAATGTTGTCTTTTTTTGGTAATATCGTTTAAAAAAAAAACACCTGGAAGACATTGACATCATTCTTCCAGCACAGTTATTGACTGAAATGAATAGTAGATAGTGGTTACCTCATTACTAAATCTTTACTCAACACTCACGCACTATTAACTTTGAGTGGTGACTGACCACAGCTGGAGACCCATATTTTCTTTTGCAGAGCTAAAACCTGGGAAAGCACTTAGTTTGTGAAAAGTCATCGCATACACACAGTTGTACACACATTCATAGGCCTAGAGGACGGGGGCTTAAGGGGGAGCACTGGACCAAAGCAGCTGCCAACTGTCAATCACGTACAGGGATCATAACGATTTTGGTCAGCATCATTTGGTGAGAGTGTGGTGTTAATCTGTGTGATTCTTGTGTAAAAAAATATAATGGAATTTATGCGACATTGTCATGTTAGTTCAGCTGGGGGTCACGCTTCCCTCGATGCAGTACTGGGGACATTGTCATTGTAGTTGATTAGAGTCACAGTCATGGTGTGTGTTTCTGTGTGTGCGCGTGTCTATGCAGTATCCGCTAGCTAATGCAGCCCCGGTGTATCGCTGTTCAACCTGTCAGATACCTGTTAGATTAAAATTTACTCTGTACTGAATAATGTGAAAGTAAAATTATGCCATATACTCGAACCAGGTGTTTTCTTTGTGTGTGTGTTAGGGATGGGCACAGAGATTAGGAGGGCTGACAGCTGATTCTCACACATGCACAAAGCACAAAATAGTATCTCTCAGCACATCATGGTATAGGCCCGACTCCAGCTCTAAGATGTCAGGTGGCCCAAAACAAAGGTTTACAAATGTAACATAATAGTAGTATTATAATATAATGGCTATGGCGGTCTATAGAATAAAATAATTCTAATTTCAACCAGAAAGCATAATGGAATAGTAAAAATGTAAACTTTGGTTAGCTTGTTTTTATAATCAAACTTGATATTTTTACTATTCCATTCTTTCAGGTAGGAAATTAGATTAATCACAATTATTTTCTTCTATCTTCAGGTTTATGCATCTAACAACACTTTAATGGTGGGTAGAAAAACTAGAAGCTGTCAAATTTATAGTGTTAAGTGTTGTTTGTTTCACTATATAATTTATATGACCCAAAGCCATAAGACTCGGGGTGGGCCAGGCTTATGATTAGCTTGGCCTGCACATTTAGTTTAAAAGATATAATGCATCTGTCCAGTGAACATGCAAAACTCTATTATGCAAGATTTTAAAGACAATGTCTAACCATACCATTGTTGTAAATTAATTTGCCTGGTTAAAAGGAAAATGCAAGACGGCTGTTTAGTAGTCCACTGTGGTATATTATTAATACAGTTGAATAAATTCACATTCTTTTAATTTTAAGTGTGTTACAGTTGAATGTTGTTTTTTTGCATCTGTAGCTCGAGAAATAAAATTCATTGTGGTACAATATAACAAAAACACGTGACATAATTCATATATAACGTAATGTTTGATGTAGGTTGCAGTGCACTACGTGAGGTTGTTTAAAATAGTATAACTATTATATCAATAGGTAAATGTGGACTAGTGAACTAAGCGTTCTGAATTATACATATTGTTTACCAGAGAAACACTGCTCGCATGGGACGTTGCACACGAGTCTGCTTACAAAATCATCTAGAACGTCTAAAAAGGATATAAAAGAGTCTCATTTGACTGATTACACGCACTCGATTTGCAAATGAAAGCGGCGTGTTTCTGTCTGAAAGGCTACAGGGAGTAAAACACGATTCATCACAATAAAAATGCCGAGGTCTTCAGGGCAAATTGATGATGGCGACCAAACAGAGCGAGAGCGTGCCCGCGCGCGCGTCAAAGAGCAAGCCTGGGCGCCGATTGGCTGAAAATGACATCACATAGAATTGTGCTATTCTTAGCTTCTGGAAACGGGATGACCTCATCTTTTTCCTCCCTCGCGCAGGTATAGACATACAACAACAAATAATGTGAGAAGCGCAGACAGAGCGGAGAGGAGCACAGGAGCACAACTACTGAGAAGAGAGATCAAGGAACTGTTTATAATTGCGCAGATACAAATACTTCACGCGTTTGTGCTATTTACAACGTTCATCCACCAGCTTCGTTGGACTTTTCCAAACCTTTTTGGTCTTCCTGCGCATTCTGCTGATCTATAACTGACTGGACTGGTGAGTATCAGCTTTTAGTTTATTCTAAGCATGTGTAACTTGTCTATTACCATTGTTATCATTGCATTTAATCATTGTTAAATGCAATTTATCAAAACTTTAAATTCTTTTAGGCATACCATTTGGCCTGCTTTTAGGATTCTGACTGTCTGTGTAGTGCGTCATACACAAAGAGTTATTTTCTGTGTGTTTTTTCTCCATAGGTTTTCAGGTTAAACATTTTTTTTTTAGAAATCAAGAGATGGTGTACTACAGGGACAGTCAGTCCGAGCGGCCGCCGTTGTCTCGTATTCTGCCGCATCTCTACCTTGGTGCAGAGACTGACGTAACCCAGGTATGTTTACAGTCCTCAAATGATTTATCAGTATTACTAGCTGTTAAATAGTGTCCTCCTCAAATCAAATTTAACTTATATATGCTAATAGTTTGTCCTCGTGCGTTACATTTAAGTTAAGTAACTTAAATCTCACCTTTCACCCTCTGTTCGTTTCCACAGGATGGTTTGTCTGACCGAGGCATCTCGTACGTACTAAGTGTGAGCCGATGTTGCCCACAGCCTTCATTTCTACCCCAGTCCCAGTACCTCCGTATCCCAATAGACGACTCTCTGCGGGATGACCTGCTTCCTTGGATCCCTCAGGCGTTGCACTTCATTGGTGAGGGACCCGGAATCCCACTCCTTACATCAGCCTGCATTTGCATCCCAACTGCATTACGTCATTAGCTAGCATCGACATGGAAATAGATTTGTTTGTCTGGGTAAAAAAAGAAAAGAATAGATAATAATATGAGGCTAATTTAAAACGGATCATAGGCTATTTTATGCATTAGTCCTCTGCTGGAAAACCCTGGGTGGGTATACATACGTTTTAATATAGGCTATCGTATATGTTATGTTGCAGACGGGGCCATGTCACTTGGCTGCTCTGTCTTGGTTCACTGTGCTGCAGGAATCTCTCGATCTCCAGCACTTGCTGTGGCATACGTCATGTATAGCCTGAAAATGGATCTGGATCATGCATACAGGTAATGTGCATACGTTGTTTTACTACTGCTTCTGGGATTGTCTATGTAATAAGAAGTGACATTTTGCACATAAAAAAGTCAGAGGTATAATCTGGTGATTAAATTGAGAACGATATATTGTTTTATTTTATTTTTATGTAATGAATGCAGATTATTCAAATGAGTGAAGTATCTATCTCATCATTCCTTTAGGTTTGTGAAAGAACGCAGACCTACAATTTCACCGAATTTTAACTTCCTGGGGCAGCTGCAGCTCTTCCAGGGAACGCTTTCTTTGAAGAATAATAACACAAACCTTCACGCTCAGCAGTCAGATAAACCTTTGGATAACTGCCTGCAGCCCACCAATGAAAAAAACAACAGCAGTTCTACAGTGGCACTGTTAACCAACTTAAACCGTCAGAACAGAATTGACAACAACTGCATTATTGATGTATGTACTGAGGATTCCAAAGCAAACGTGCACTGTGAGAACAAGAACAACCAAATGATAAATCCAGAGTTTACCTTATCTCTTTCAGACAAGATCGGAGCGCTCACTCTCCGCACAAATCCCGAAGAGATACAAAGACCAGTAAACATCACATCTCAGACACCGCAGGATTCACCAAAGTCCAACCTACCTAAGCCTACTTACCTTCAGATTCCATCTCTAGCGGAGAAACGCAAAAGCCTTACTCTTTCCCTTACGCCAGTGGGTGCAGTTCCTCAGACTCACCAGCAGGGGTCATCAGCCAACAGCTGTGATCTGAGGAAGAGCCGTTCCGCAGTTGACCAGACGGGGGCGTTAGAGGACTTGGGAAGAGCCGATATGGAGCCGTCAGCATCAGAAACCAGAACAGATCCAAAAGAGGCAAACAGGTTTATCAACGAGGAGGCGTCAGCTAGATACAGCTGCTCAAGATCACAAAGAAGAAAGAATAAACTAAACCACAGAGCAAACGATGAGCAACAAAAGACAAACCAAGTGAACCATTCAAGCACACAATCGCACAGGCAGATCCAGGGACCATGTGAGATCAAAACCTCCTCACAGGAGGTTACCAGTGGTGTAGAAGCAGTGGAGGGTATGGATGGAGACAACAGCCCCTTGTCTCCAGTCAGTCTAACGGTTAACAAAATACTAGACTGGGGAGAACGCATGCTGCTTGGGGTCCTACTCGGCCCACGTATTAAAGTGGGACAGGCTGCTTTGCCGTACAGATGTTGAGGAGGGACTGTTTCAGTCTGGTTGTATGAACTGTGCTACTACTTGAAGATGAAGTGTAAACGAGGACTTTTAAGAGAGGCATAGCTGGAACTGTGTTTATTATGTACCTCCCCATTGAGCAGAAGGAACTTAAATGAAGACAGCGACATGGGTGAAAAAGCATATGTATGAGTGTGTGAATTCACTTATTTATTTGATGAAATTGCATGTTCCTCTAAGAGTGTTTGATAGACTTAAGTCATCTGATGGACTGGTGATATGTATAAATGACAGAATGTCTGGAAAACACTTGCGATTTGTTCTGTTATAATGCACAGCCTGCCTGTGAGTTTATTTATTAAAATACACTGATAATTGACATTTATAAATGGGTATTTTGCAGGTGGAATTTTAACACTATAGCTTGTATTGAAAAAGTGTTCATTAAAGACAATTATTTTATCTCTCTGTCTCTTTCATTTTAGCAACTATTTTAGTGAATTTTATAATAAGATGTTATTAAAAGACCAAATCTAGCAATAGAAGAGGTACGATCCACTACCTCAACATCATGTCTGTGAATTTAAGAGCCAGTTGATCAGTTGGGCTATAGACGTGCCTTTTAAGTTAAGAAAAAACATAGTAGGCTAATTATAGTATCCTTACAGTTATACCGAAGGATTTTCTAAAGTTGAGGAATTTGTTGCATCAGGCTACTGAAATTTAGTCTCCTTACTTGGTTTAGTCACAATGAAGAGGAGCACCATTTCCCCATACATGTTGAGAAGGAAGACGGTAACTGGTGGGTGTCTCCAAAAAGATTTGTAATACTCCCTGTTTGTCACATTCTTGGAGGTTTTTGTTTAATACAAGCCAAAAAGTGAATCAGCATCCACACTGATATTGCCAAGAAATTACACAATATAGCCTACTTTAAGAACAAAGGCAAATGTACAGAATCAGCATATTACATATCACTATGAAATGCACCATTAAATAAATAAATATAAGATACAAAATATTCCATATAGACAAACATAAAGTTTAAATCAGCCTCATTTAAAATCAGCCTCATGACCACAACATATTTCAATAGATTATCACTCCTGTTTTTAACTCTTGCGCTTATTTATATCATTCGAGCTGATTGAATAAAATAAAATAAAAATAAAAAACGGACAATGAATGCAGAATTAACGCTCTGTGTAAAACATCTACCGTAACCCAGACAAGCCAGGCCCTTGGCCAAATATGGGAAAGACGACGCTCGAATTACACATTTATCATAAAGCCTGCCTTCTATTGCGGAAATTCAAGCGAGTAACAGCAGAATAGTTCATCGAATCATTCGTATCAGCCAATTAGAACTCGCCAAGGCTCACCGATTACGAAATGATTCGTGCGATGAGAAAAACAACTATAGAAGCCACGCCCATTTCAGGCGTGCGTATGAGATACACTGAAGACGAAAAAAAAGTTGCCCCTGGTCATGAAAAAAAGCTATCGGAAGCAAGAGAGAGTCCAGAAATCACCAAGAAAAATCCAGAGGGCGGACATTCCTTTAAGCCTGGAATTCGCTGTTTATCTCCATAGCAAGATGGTTTTATCGCTTGTACAAAAGGGAGAGTTTGTCGGCTAAATCTTGCGGATATAGTGTATTAAAGTTGTCAGAGTATTCGCGGGTTGGCAGTGGACTAAGTTGTCTGACTTTCGAGTCGCTAACTTGGCACCAGAAGGCTAATTTACTCAAGGCGGCTGCGGAAGAAAGGTAACGTTAATCGGCGGTCATTGCGCAGACCAGCGCGGCATTTGTTTTATTTCCACTTTAGAGTTATCAATCTGATTCTGCAAATGCTATTGTTTTGTAGATATTGAAACATGGAGCTTTGATTGTGATACATACTGCCCAAATCTGTAACATTGTAGCCTATTGTAGAGGTTTATCAACGATGCCAGGCCTTTTACGGTCTCAAATCTTTATGCTCCGTAGGGCAGTATTATTCCTCTTAAAACCATTTTAGTTGAGTAAGAAGACATTATTAGTATTGTTTAATAACCCAATGTTACATATTTGCAGGAGTTGGACCATGTCAACGGAAGAAAGATATAAGTTGGTGGTCGTGGGCGGTGGAGGTGTGGGGAAAAGCGCCCTCAGTATTCAGTTCATTCAGGTAAGTGTGTATTTTTTAGTACTTTGTATGAAAAATATGTATTTATGTCGCAACATGGGGCCAATACGCGGTGGTAATTATTTCTGTGGGTGTGTTGTAAGAGTTGTGTGACGTTCAGAGTGAAGTGGGCTTTTCTCTGCATGTTCCTTCATGTTAAAGCCCTTGTTTAAGAGTTGGTGAACCAATATGTTTTCTTTTACAGTCGTACTTTGTGTCTGACTATGACCCGACCATTGAAGACTCGTACACTAAAACCTGCACCGTGGATGGAAAGGAGACACGATTAGACAGTATGTTGGTATTAATGTGTTCTTTATAGGAAGGAATGAGTGTTAAAAGCTCCACATGTTTCCTCAGTAGGGAGATTTTTGTCAGAGTTGCATCATTGATGATTAATTGCTGACTACGGTTCCTGCCCAGGTTTTGTTTTGACTTGCTGTCAGTACAACATCATGCCAGCTGTGTTTAAATTTCTAAAATGTGATTTGTTTGTGTGGATCAGCTCATCTTGTATATTCCCCTCTATTTACCTGGGGTATGTTTCGTTTTTGTGTCGTTCACCATTAGTCCTGGACACAGCAGGACAAGAAGAGTTTGGAGCGATGAGAGAGCAGTACATGCGCTCTGGAGAGGGTTTCTTACTGGTGTTTGCTCTTAATGACCGTGGCAGGTAGGTGTTTTCCCGAGTGTGTTTGTGAGCATGAGAGGAAGGCAAATAGATGGTTCCTAACTTCTCTGTGTGACGAGAACAGAGAGTGTGTATGTGTGTGTGTTAAAAATAAAACCACAGAATGTGTTTGTGATGAGAATGAAAGTGCAGGTTATGAGTGTTCATGTCATCAGGTGCAGAGTTGAGCCTCAACAGCTGAACTGAGACTTTCTGTGGCCAGTATAAATGCTGAGGTTTCACAGTGTACAAATTCTTAGGGGCCGTTTACATGACACCGTTTTCAATTAAAAACAGAAAACCGTTTATGCAGTTTGGCCGATCATTTACACAACAACAGCGTTTTGGGGGCCTGAGAACGCGAACTTTTGAAAACAAGTTTCAAAGTGCAAGTTTTTTAAAGCGATAATGTTATTGTCTCTGTGAAAACTACAAAAACATGAATTTGTAAAAAAAATATGTTCAGGAAAATATTTAATGTAATTTATTTTATTTGTTTGTTAATAATAATACCTTTAGGAATTTTAATATTCATTTATTGTAAGTTAAATTTACAGGCTACAATCCAAGAAGAGTTCAATTGTAACGACCTTCTATGAACTCTGTTTTTTTTTTTTTTGTAAAACTTGTTATTCTACTAAAACTTTTGTTGGTTCTCTGTTTCAGTTTTAAAGAAATTCAGAAATTTCACACTCAAATATTGCGGGTGAAGGATCGAGATGACTTTCCCATAGTTCTTGTTGGCAACAAATCAGATCTTGACCAGCAGAGAGAGGTAATGCTTCCGTGTTCCACAGCTGGTTGAATTTTTAATGAAAAATAGGCTACCAATTCATGCCAACCCCCCCCCCCCCCCCCCCCCAAATAGATCTCGAGAGAGGAGGCCATGTCATTTGCCCGAGAAAACAGGATCCCCTATATGGAATCATCAGCTAAGAACCGCCACAATGTGGAAGAAGCCTTCATGGAGGTTGTGCGGGCAATAAGGTATTTGTAATAGAGAATAGCTCTTATGAGATTTACAATGCTGTGGATTATGATGAACTTAGATTACCATCTCTCCTCAGGAAGTTTCAAGAGACGGAGAGTCCGCCACTCCCCGCTAATCACGCGAGAAAGCAGAAGAGTGGTGGCTGTCCCTGCACCCTGCTCTGACTGCCCCTCTGCACTGTTGCCTAGGAGACTGAAGCCCTCACTCTCACGCCTGGTGCCTTATATGTCTACACACAGTGTGTGTGTGTGTGTGTGTGTTTTGTGCATATGTCTGTGTGGCACTGTACGCATCAGTGTTTTAGCGGCTTTTACAGTATGTGTGTATGAATGGTTCCCAAGGAAAAACTAGGCTGTATCAAATGAGAAAGAACCTGATGGAAAGGGGGGCCTTTAGTCTTATTTTGCCCACGTGTTTTATGTAGTGCCTTGTAGAATCATGCTCTTGATTTTAGATTCAAGAACAGTATTTGTTTATTTCCATCATGGTAAAAGGTCGCAGACTGATTTGTGTGCCACGGGAGATTTTTAAAAACATTCATCATGGAGGGGGTGAACAATAGTGACAACGCATTTTTAAACAACCACGTAAGCGATGTGCTGGCAAAACCTTGTGATGGTTCTGGTGTCGCCTGTATGTACAACATACAAATATTGTGTTATTGACTCACAAAGACAAGTCAGAAAGTGTTTTATTGGCCCAGACCCCTGTTCAGCATGTCCTCTCTCGGGGGATTTATTTAGTCAGTGAGACTGCACTGAAATGGCTGCTCTAGTCTACACCTTGCTACCCATCAGTGGCCAGAAATATATTCAGCCAGCTTGTTTTCATTAATCTGTTCCTGATAAAGCAATGTCTGATGACTAAGACATGATGTGGTTTTAATAATTGAGCATTTTTAGTGGAGAAGCAGTGGTGTTCAAATAAGTCCAGTATCTGCAGTGCTAGTATTCATACAAACCAAAGGCTATACTGTATATGTTTGCACACCAGCTTTGTCATCGTGAATAGTTATCTAATGTAGTTTAACACTAAAATGGACAAATCGTGTGGTTTTGGTATGTTTCTTTTTTCGTTTTTTTGTCTTTTTGTAGGTACGTCTATTTGTGCTTATGTGCAGAATAAGACATTCTGTCTCCAGGTTCACGTTATTGTATATGTCGTGCTTCGCTTGTTATTTTTGCACCTTCATTAGTAGACAGTGATGCAAAAGTGATACAGAGGAATTGCCAAATGAATTTACTAGCAAAGCATGATATTAGTCAGTGTTGTGAGGGAGTGATTCACTCTGTCTGTACATAAGTAGAACGGCATAAAAACAAGACTAGGTGCTTTTTCCTTAGTCCCACGATAGCAGTTTCTTATGGTATACTCGACTCTTGAGGGAGTTGCTACACACAATTTACGGCCTTTAATCAAGGGACATGGATTTTTTTTTTTGTGAACTGGGACAGATTCTATTGTAGATCAGGTTTGTCGGCTGCAAATAAGAACAAAGCACTATTTAATTTTGCAATGTTAACAAAATTACACAACATTGTTACATGATGATTCTCAGTCATATAATTTCATGACTTGTCTTAAGTCTGATTATTTCAGTTTTTTTAATTTAAGCTATTTTTCTTGGCTCTGGAGGGAGAACAGACACCATTTATCTTCCAATTTTGTATCTAAATTTAACAATATTCTTTTGTACACAATTAAAATGTTTTTAACCGTTTCATGTAATAATTTGTGGGTGACTGATTTGTTGGAGTGAATCATTATAAAGTATTTGTAACAATTTTCCCATAACGTTTTTGAACACAATTCAGATACTCTGAGCTGGGATATAAGTAAATTAATTTATATAAATAAATTAGGAAATTTAAAGATTAAAGAATTTAATTCTAAACTTAATTTTTCATTAATGTATGATAAGCTGTATTGATATACTATTGCATTTATACACCAAATAAGGTATTTATTTAATTTTACTTTTTTTTTTTTTTTACTTCCTTCTAACTATGTTATTCATCTCGGTTCTCATATGTCTCTCAATTCTTATTGGACCATAACGATCGAATAAGAGAACTACCCTGCGCATTACAAGCAATTGTTGCAAATGATTCCCACATGTGAGGATAGGGGAAATTATAATCGCTGGGAGGGAATAAACCGCAAGGCGAGATTCAGAATCTGGAGAAATATTAGCATGACTTGAAAATTTAAACGTGGTGACGTTGTAAATGCACAGATAGATATTCCTTTGTTTTAAAGCGATAATATAAAACGAATCACGTGTATAGGACTGACTTTCATAAATGTATTAAAAGATGCTCTCAGGTCGGCTCCTGCAAAGAAGAGGCCCATTCATAACTATCATTGAAAAGAACGGTTGATCCAATCAAGACGCAATGGACTGTTGAAACCGGAAGCTGTTCAAGGTGGGAATTTTTTGTTGTTGTTTTAAAGACAGGTGAAGGTTACATTTTCAACATTGAACTAACGTTAACGTTACGATATGTACATCAGTGTTAGACACAGCACTAAAACTTACTAATACTATTTTCTGGAATTGGGTGATCAAAGCACCTTTGTTTATTGAGATGTGCAGGTAGGTCACCGAAACTTTGTCACATCCCACTGCCACTCCTATAAGCGCTCGAGGCCGTGATATGTTGTCAAACTGGTATGTCTCGTGATGACTTGTGTTTTCGCTGTGAATGAAACACACAGGTGAATATGGAAGTAGTTTAATCAAAACCCGCGAATATGTGAATTCTTTGTGTTTATATTGTTAATCTAGCTATAATAATTTACAGCACCAAGAAAGGAAATCTGTGGGGAAATCTGAAAGTGTTTTCCTTATAAAGTTTCCTTGTACGGAGCACAACATAGTGTAAAGGTAAGCGGGCGGTTTCCTATAGTTTTACTTTCTTTTCTACTTTCTGTCCTGCGTTTTAAGGTACCGTTTTCAAAATGGATATGCACTTTTTAGTTAATCAACTTAAATATACAAAAATAAGTATTCCCTCGTGTTGCCACAATTTTGTAAATGTATTATCAATGTGATTTTAGTTGAACGGTTTGAAAATACGATGTTAAACGGATGTTTAATGTGTATGCCTCTTTTTTCTTAATATATATGTGTATATTATATATTAATATAGGCCTATTTATATAATAATATTAATATTTGCTTTTGGATAAGTGCAATGACCGATAGAGGACGACATTGTAAGCTTTTTCTGGAGAATATTTTGTGACGCATTCTTTATGGTTATATATGCATAGGTCCATAAAGCATTATCAAAACCTGTTAAACGTTGTAATATTCTTTAAAATGTTCTTTCGAACAGGTACAATGCTGGGGTTTCAAGCAATATATTTCAGCTTGCTATCCCTGCTGCATCTTGTTTGGGGCAGAGTAATCTACAATGGAAATGATGGTAATAATGAAAAGCAAAACACTTTTTTTAATTGCCAGTGTGGGACATTTTTGGTTTATCTTTTGTTGTTGCTAATCCATTAGTACTATGGTGTGTTTTTGTTGGCTCTCCATGCATTCGTGCATGATATCAAGATTTATGATATCAAACCTTATTTGCATTACACACTTTAGTTGTATTACAAACATTGGTAATTGTTTCATACCCAGAATTCAACATCATTTTTCACTACATATACACTCACCTAAAGGATTATTAGGAACACCTGTTCAATTTCTCATTAATGCAATTATCTAATCAACCAATCACATGGCAGTTCCTTCAATCCATTTAGGGTGTGTGTTCCTGGTCAAGACAATGGCCCTGTCCCAATACCCACACTACGCCCTAAGGTCTTCCTTGAAGTGGACAATTGTTGAAAGTGCACTTAGCGGAGTAAGTGCTCAAGGGCCCGAAGCTGTGAAGAGCCGAATTGGGACAGTTTTGCACACGTCATCTACGTCACTTCTGTTGTGATCAGGGGAGCAAACACCGTTCATTTGGCTAATGTGTGTGCTGCTTATAATAGCTGTAACATGACACAATCCTTTGAATGAAAGGAAAATACATAAAAAGGATTTTTTTACTCTTAGCTACCAACCTTTCTGTTAATGTTATTAATATTAAAAAAGTTTTTGGCTAAGATAAATTGTGATTGAGGTTTACCTGAGCTTATACTGCCTCACCGTATTCACAGCGATTCGAAATGCAATTTTAATTATGTTATTATGGAAATTGATATATGAAATTCTTCCCATACATGAAAAAATACATGACGTGTTGGTGATATATTATAAGCTATATATTAAAATAGTCTTACATAGGCTATATGAAATAAAATGACACAACCCTGTCTCTTTGTTAAATTTCAGTTTTATTGATCAATAATAGCCATTATTAAAGTATAAGTAGCCTAAAAAGGATAAGAAGCTATATAAGTCAAGAAATAAAGCAAGTTAAAAGATTCAGTCAAACATAAGTCAACAGACTAACGTTACAACGTTACAGTTAAATAGCCTAAATATATAAAGTTATGAAACTTCACTTTGCCCTCAGCCAAAACGATTGGCCAGGGAACAAATCACATTAATAAGACCAAAGATCGCCCGTTAGATATACACAAGCCGATTTATAGCTCATGTTTAACCACTAGACACAGAGCCCGCGGGAAACGTCAGAATGACTAGCCGAGGTAAGGCTGTTCCAGGCGGGGTACATGAGCGCCCGGTGATCACCTGGAACTCCGAAAACGTCAGATCAAATTTTTAAATAGGTGCGGCCTTGAAAAACACTTCACCACATCGGCTTCCTTTATCTTCGGAGTTTCCGCTCACGAACAGCACCATAGCAATTGTTCTCCCCCATTGGTTAGCTGTGCGAAACGTCACAACACTACAAGGATTCTGGGTAATATCCCATAGCAAAGTGAGGTCTGATGCGCACTTGCGAAAGGGGTGCATTAAGTGCCCTTATGATCACCCCTGGAGAACACTATTAGAGGATCGGGACACCATACAGTCCTGCACCCCTTAGCGAAAACGCGCATTGAGGGCACAAGGGCGCAAGTGCAGATATTGGGACAGGGCCAATCTCCTGAACTCAAAACTGAATGTCAGAATGGGAAAGAAAGGTAATTTAAGCAATTTTGAGCTTGGCATGGTTGTTGGTTCCAGACGGGCTGGTCTGAGTATTTCACAATCTGCTCAGTTACTGGGATTTTCACGCACAACCATTTCTAGGGTTTACAAAGAATGGTGTGAAAAGGGAAAAACAGCAGTCCTGTGGGCGAAAATGCCTTGTTGATGCTAGAGGTCAGAGGAGATGGGCCGACTGATTCAAGCTGATAGAAGAGCAACTTTGACTGAAATAACCACTCGTTACAACCGAGGTATGCAGCAAAGCATTTGTGAAGCCACAACACGCACAACTTTGAGGCGGATGGGCTACACCAGCAGAAGACTCCACCGGATACCACTCATCTCCACTACAAATAGGAAAAAGAGGCTGCAATTTGCAAGAGCTCACCAAAATTGGACAGTTGAAGACTGGAAAAATGTTGCCTGATCTGATGAGTCTCGATTTCTGTTGAGGCATTCAGATGGTAGAGTCAGAATTTGGCGTAAACAGAATGAGAATATGGATTCATCATGCCTTGTTACCACTGTGCAGGCTGGTGGTGGTGGTGTAAAGGTGTGGGGGATGTTTTCTTGGCACACTTTAGGCCGCTTAGTGCCAATTGGGCATCGTTTAAATGCCACGGCCTACCTGAGCATTGTTTCTGACCATGTCCATCCCTTTATGGCCACCATGTACCTATCCTCTGATGGCTACTTCCACCATGTCACAAAGCTCGAATCATTTCAAATTGGTTTCTTGAACATGACAATGAGTTCACTGTACTAAAATGGCCCCCACAGTCACCAGATCTCAACCCAATAGAGCATCTTTGGGATGTGGTGGAACGGGAGCTTCGTGCCCTGGATGTGCATCCCACAAATCTCCATCAACTGCAAGATGCTATCCTATCAATATGGGCCAACATTTCTACAGAATGCTTTCAGCACCTTGTTGAATCAATGCCACGTAGAATTAAGGCAGTTCTGAAGGCGAAAGGGGGTCAAACACAGTATTAGTATGGTGTTCCTAATAATCCTTTAGGTGAGTGTATTGTATGATTAGCTGCCATTTATTACCCTTCGTATGTATTGCGCTGTTCCTTCTGTCTGTTACAAGTTATGCTTTGTATTCTCTTGTGTTCTTCAGTGTTCCTAGATGAGAAGTCAGCAGGTTCATTTATCTCCCGTAAACTGTTGAAAAACAGTTGGGATTTTGAGGCAGTGGTGCCTGGCAATATAGAGAGAGAATGCAAGGAGGAAATATGCTCATATGAAGAGGCCAGAGAGGTGTTTGAAGATGACAAACTAACAGTAAGAAAAAGAGTATACTCATTTTATACACTATAGGGAATGTCAACACAAAGGAATCATGTTATAGCCAAAACTACAAGATGAGGTGAAAAAAATGGTTTATGTAAGTCATTTGACACTGTCTGTTTTGTTTTCCAACAGGCCAGTTTTTGGGAAACCTATAGCAACAGTCATGGTAAGGCTGATTTTCTTAAAGGGACACTCCACCCAAAAATGTCATCATTTACTCACCCTCAAGTTGTTGCAAACCTGTATGAGTTTCTTTCTTCTGCTGAACACAAAGGAAGATATTTTGAAAAACGATTGGAACCAAACAGTTGTTTGGCACCATTAACTTCCATATTAGAAAAAAAAATACTAGGGAAGTCAATGGTACCCCACAACTGATTGGTTCCAATCGTTCTTCAAAATATCTTCCTTTGTGTTCAGCAGCAGAAAGAAACTCATACAGGTTTGCAACAACTTGAGGGTGAGTAAATGATGACAGAATTTTTGGGTGGAGTATCCCTAGTTTAAGGGAATGTATTTGATATTTTATAGATGGTTGTAAATATGCACATCCAACAGTTGGATTCAATTTTCAAATAAATTATAAATCTTATTATTAGTCTGACAGCACCAAAGTAAGCAGCCTTGTCTATCATCATAGTGTAAGCAAATGCAACCTACAAATAGTATTTTATTGACCAATATTTTATCCTAATGGGATAAACAATTAAAATGTGTATTTGTTGAGAATAATGAACTGATTGGTTGATTTCCACAGAGACTTTGCACCCACTCGATGTGTCTGGTTTGGTAGCTGGCATTGTGGCTATTGTAATAACAGCGATTATAGTCACTGTGCTGGGCATTTATTGCTACAAGAACCGAGGCAAAAATGCAAGAGGGGGAAGGTAAGTGCATGCTGTTATTACCACTGCGATATGCCTTTTATGTGGCAATATCACTCTAATGGATCCTGCATCTCAACAGTGTTCCTGTGCATATGGGAGTGGATGGCCTGCCAGTACCTGAATCTGTGCCCTTGTCTATTGTGGCTCCGGGTCTCCCCTCGTACAATGAGGCTCTGACTCACAGTGGCCAGCACGATGCCCCCCCACCGCCATACTCTGGGTAAGAACTCTGAATGGTTTGTTTGCATATGTGCATCACATTCAAAAGTGATGCACTATCTGCTATAAAATTAGTTTGTGCTGCATTTTCAAAATATGTTTTAAAATATGCATCTCTGCTCTTTACAGGGGAAGTCCACCCGAGCCGACAGAAACTCCAGATGAGGAATGACAAAGACACGATGTGTTTTTTTCACAAAAAATGTGTTGTTGTTTTTGGGGTGGGGTGGGGTGGGGTGGGGGTGATGTATGGTTTTACCAGTGAAAAAGGGACATTTTTGGGGTCTGCAAGTTGGTGGTCATGTGTCACAGAGAAAGAAATGACTGTCAGCTGCAAAGTGTAATTTCAGTCACTAATTAGGTAATTTATTATACTTGTGCTACATGTTCAGCAGTTAACTTTTATTATTATTATTATTTTGCTACTATCGCCAAAGGACAGAGTTGTATTGTAAGCACACTCAATATTTTCATAAATCAGGTTTGTTTAAAAAATGTAAAGCGTTTTCATGGTCCTGTTAAATTGAATTTAATTGTCATTATTAATAAAATGAAAAATGTAGACCAACTTGAATTTGATAATTCGACTGTGCAACAACGCGCGTGACTTAAATCGATTCAGTATTGGCAATTATTGGCTGTTCTCAATCATCATCGCCTCTTTCAGAGTATCAGAGGAGAGCATCCAAGTCTCAAGACTCAGTAGTGCCTCTATCTGTGCTGTAACAAGGCGGCAGTACGCACGAGACTTCCAGACAGACTGCGTATGTGAGAGTGTGACAAGCGAGTCGGGTGGGGGGATATGTTTGTGTGTGTGTGTGTGTGTGCGCGCGCGCGAGCCTGTTAGTCCACTCTTGAAAATGGCGTCTTTTTGCCTAAATACCTGAAAATAGCGATTTTAATCCCAGGCATTGTAACTTTTATGTGAGGTTTAAAGCATTATACTAGCCTCTTGTATGGCTCATGTACATTTTGCGGATTTAAATGAACCTATTCACAACAAGCCATATTGTTTCTGACGAAGAGCCTCCATCCCGGTGAGGAAAGGAATTTACATCCATGATGTAAATATTTGGGGCGCAACAGCTGAATTAAAAACGCGCAGTCGGTAGACTACTATTTTTAGATACCTACTATCTCACCTTTTTGTGGCAATGCAGTACACGAACAACTGAAATAGGGTACAATCAGCACGTGTCGTATGTCTCGTGGGTGTAACAAGCAATGGCATCAGAATTCGACATGCAGAGCATCAGCCGCGTTTGCTGTTTCTGCTAAGAAGGACAATAGGCAAGCATCGAGATATATAAGAGGGCAAAAGAGGGGAGGGGAGGAAGAAACCGGATTTTTTGTGGTGGCGGTGGTTGGTGTAATACTTCACCCGCCTCCCCTCTGTATCCTCCATCTCCCCCTCCTCCTTCTCCTCCCTCCATTCCTCTCCCCCTCTGTGCTGGTCCTATTCTTGAGGACTTGTTTGTGAAACAGGATTGATAAACAGACACTGAGCGCAGAGGAAAGGACACGGGGAGAGATAGTGTGTTAGAATTTAGGAAATACCTCCCTCCCCTTCCCCCCGTCTATCTCTCCATCTTCATCCCTTGTCTCTTCTTTAATGGATAGAAATTATCCTGGCACAGGATTCGGTGATCTGGGCGCTGGAACGGGATGGAGTTACGAGAGATCGGCGAAGGCAAGGTAAGGCGCCTGTGCAAGTACACTTCCATGCACTGGATGCATAAATATGCTTAGCTGGCTGTAACAATGCCCATGCCGACGGACGCAATACATGTTCCCACTCTCTCTCGCTCCCAGTGCTATGTTCATTCACTTGCATGCATTATATTGTCGCTGGGTCCACGTACAGCCATCAGTATTGTCATTTCTGAGGGAGGAGGGGGTGTCTCGAAAATGCAAGGAATGCGATTGAGAGTTAATGCGTGATACGGAAGGTAGACTGAGACAGAAAAGGGGGAGAGGGGCGAAAAGAGGGGGGATGGGATGATGTTGCTAGCTAGCTTGCTAGCGTATTATCAAAAATGAAAAGAAAAAAAATCAAGCCTTCTGCCTTGGAGGCGCACCAAACCGGACATTGCATGCCGAACTTATACGCTAATTCAGAGTAGTAATGCGTGGCACAAAATGCACGTTGACAAAGCGTTATTTTGGAGGCAACCGATTACAAGCAATCACATAACGTTATATTTGGGAATGAAATGGTTGCTAGCTAACGTTACTGTATGCAGCTTATCCCTGTAGCCAACGTATTTGTGTAAAATTATTCACGAAAAATACCTTTTGTGTTAAACGGGTAAAAAAATGGATACATATTTATCTGAACGGGAAAAATAACAGAAGTGAAGTTCCTTACAGTCAACATACATTATTCAGTTAGGCTACACATGTCACAAGACTGACTGCAGCTATATTAAACGCCATGTGAACCGCTACTAACTCATTATTACTCTCCGACATTGCATAATTAAAAACAACAACAACCCAAACTTTCCATAGCCTGTTTAGTATCGTTATTATCTAGGAAAAAATACCATCTCTGTCGTTGAGGATACTGTCGTTTTAGTAGTCACTTGGCAACGTACCAGAATTGTGTGTAAGTTAGTGTTCCTTAGTGAAATTACAGCGTGACCGACCGAGACTTGCACACTGTAAACATAAACGTAAGACGCACTGCAAACGTATTTGCAGCCACATAGGTTTCACAAACAGAAAATGTGACCGATAAAAACTTAATGGATGAGATATTTAAATATCCACAGCAACGTGGATTGGGGGAAACTTGAATAAAATGATCTGACAAGGTAACGTTATCAACATGTTTAGTTTTACATCTGACTAGCCATTGATTCTGTAGTAAAAATAGGCTTGCTCGAAACGGTTGATACTTTTAGGAAATGCTACATTATAATATTAAAACAGTGGTGATATTGTCATTAGCTGTGTCCGAAACCGCTCACTCGTTATCGTTAACTCATTCAATAAACCCATAGTGTATGGCATTTGAGTGCACTATATCTGCTAGGAGTGAATGTCCGACACCCTATATAGTGCACTATATAGTGGATAGGGAGCGATTTCAGACACAGCTAATGTCATACCTGAAAACGGGACTATTACAGTGCCGTGCTTTTCGCTGTTTTAGTCGTTCAACCGTGTTCCACTATTTTCGCGGCCTACTTACAGTTCACTTCAGGCACCCGGCTACGTGCGTTATCAGTCGCCGTGACAACCAAATCAATCTTAGCTGCGTACAGATCCCGCGTGCAATCATTCTGGGTGGCTTTACTGTCTCGCGTAAAGTGAAGTGTTAAGAAATTTGAATTATGATAATGTTGGTGAATTCTGTGCTTCAGTGGACTCTGCTAAGGGAATTATTATGATTAAAAAAGCATTCATCATTGTAGGTTGCATTTTCTTTTTTTATTTACACAAATGTGTCAAGAAGTCTTATCATTTGTGCATTATTGTAACACTATTGGAGTGGGTCCTTTTTCTTACATGAAAAGACAACAATAGGGCTATTCTTTTGGGCAACCATCCCCAAATGCATGGAAACCTCGTTTATGTGTATGTACAAGGAATTCCATTCAGACTAAGATCACACATGCTGTGTTGTAGTTTGAGTTTTTGTAACAGGTAGCATAAACCCAGACTGCAACCCAGTATCCCTGGCTGACTCTTAGTCCTAGCAAGTCAGTAAAGGAATTTCTCTATTTTCTTTTATTCTTTAATATTGTGTTTCTGACTCAAGAACATCTCTGTAGACTCATAGGCAGATTGATAGAATCCAGAATCTTAATGAGTTCAGGCTTATGATGATGGACAAGCTTCAGTAGTGCTGCTGCTGCAGAGCCTGAAAGCATCAACTGGATACAATGAAATGAATTATTCTATTCCCAATATTCTCTCTTCTAGTTTACTGTTTTTGAATGAATATTAGATGGTAAGACCGCCACTTTAGGTCTTTGGAAACATAGCCATTATGCAATGATGAAACACCAAGAAGAGTTCAATTAGCATAGAATGAAACAAAATTACACTGGGGTCTGTGTAGGACACCACATTCAGCAATATTGATTCTTGTAATAAGAAATGTTGTTGCATGTGTTAATATTAAATGAGAATAAACAGATACAATTCTACAATTGTTGCCTGACGGGACTTTTGCAGAATGCATTTTGGTTATGAAGCCAACAAAGGCATTCTACTCCATGATGGTAAGGTTCACCAGGCCTTTTTTGGGCTGTGTACATCCACCACACACCTCTGCACGGATCTAATGGAGATTAATGGCCATGACTGAGTTCCCCATCAGGCTGCAAACATTTTGCACCTGTTTGGGGGGACTGTGTTGAGTTGGTGCCTATATAATTAGGAGCAGTCTTGTACAGTGGATTCAATCAAGCTTTCTAATTTAACCCTTTGTGTTTAGTTTTTTTCTTTTCTTGTTCCTTCCATTGTTTATTTATTTTTCATGTTTCCTCTCTTTCCCTGTTATTCTTTTTCCCTCCATTGTCAAATTATGGTTAATCAGCTCAAGAACAGGCACAATAGCAGGAGGTGAGACGTTTATCAGGATGAATTGATTGACTGAAGGTGTAAGCCAGCCAGCATAATGAAAAAAGTGAGAGAGGAGAGTTTGAGAGGATGAAATTATTGGATCTGGAGTATTTATAGTGTGGTCCAAATGTATACAAATTACATTTTTATATAGCTAAATACCATAATATTTACACAGAAAATGTTTGTGACATTGGCTGTGGGAACGGTTACGTTATAAAGATTTCCTTTATCATAGTTACATGATCATCAGGTTTTGCACAAACTTTTGCTCAATCCTGCTGAAACAGTTGGCATGAAACAGAAATGGGATTTTGTTCCCTGTTGTGATGTGTATATATGTGAGTGAAATGGCTTATGGAATGAGAGAAAATGTTGGGTGGGACTTGATTTTGCCTATCACTAATTGATTGGATTTTTGGATTGTGAGTGACTGGTTGCTGGAGGTTGGAATTAATGCTCAGCCCTGATGGCTCAGGGGAAGGGTGAAGTTTATGTTTTAGATGAAAGATTGTGAGGACACATTAATTAATAGTAATTAGAATAATAATTTACATGGATAAATCATTTATAATAAACCTAGCAATATTCCATAAAAAAAAGTCCCTTTTATGCTTTAACCCCTTAACTGTCACCCCCACTTTTGGGCATTT